ATAATGATGTGGCAGCAACGAGTTGGGGCGATGAAGTCAGCACGTGTGCAGGTGATAGCCGGCTGGATACTTCGCAGTATCGCGAGAGATGGTGGCTAGAGGAGGCCTTCATCCAGCAGTGGATTGACCATGCATGACTGCTGATATTCAACACGGTACATTTCTGTTATAAGGCACTGTAAATCATAAAAAGGTTGTTAGAACCAATGGAATTGAAATATCTGCTCACACACACACGGCTTTGTGATGGTGATCATCGAGCAGTCAATCGATCATGGCTGATGAAAAGTGATGGTGGTGATGAAATGATTCATGCTTGGAAATGGTTTGGAGCCCATTTGCAGTCAAGGTCTGCAGTACAGAACACAGAGGTGGGCTTAATGGGAAATAAATGAATACACATAAAATAAGCCTCGCAGACTTAATATAAAGTGTTATAACCGGCCTGAGAGATGTACAACCTGTCTGATTTTTGGACCAGCTAAGGATACTGACGTGACGATATGAAATGTACATTAACTACTATTTTGGGAAGCTGAGAGGTCAAATAGTCCCTCCGCCATTTATGATGAGTACGCTTTGCGCTTGCCTCCTGAGGGGTTTTCCTCTTTCACGTTTGGCAGCTGACATGAAGTATACCGAGGGATTTTCCAGCAAAGACTATTTTCACTCGAGATTGGCCCCGTGTAAACGCGCAAGCCAACTATTGTCCGACTGCTCTTGTGACAAAACGAAGCACGTTCATTTGGTCGTGTTTAAAACAGACGATTTGCGTATAATTACAATCGCGAATAACCTGCGCGTTCTTTCTGGGCTGCGGGGCCACGAGCGTTTCTGCGGCTCCGTTTATCATTTGCTTAACAAATACATTCGTATGCACAGGGATGACCAGTGGTTTAATGGCGGTCTGTGTTTGTTTTATACGTTAGGCGCTGGGAGCAACCGAATGCGGCGAACATGCCGCTTTTCACATCGGAAATTGTTCAAAAGCTTACGCTAATTCACAAGTCTTTTGTCGGAGTAAATTTAAATGAGGTAGTAAAATGCTATTTACAGAGGGAATTGCTAATTCTGGGATAATGTACTTTGATCTGCTTTGTAGATGCTGGAAAGGGCAATTGTCTTGAGGGGATTAGTCGAGATGAGGTTCTTTTGCTGTTGAAGATGTGTGATTCTCCCTCCCTCCATTCTATCGCTCCCACCAGCTACCTCCCACTAGAATTGCCACCTCTGGGGTACGAAACAAACCGGGATATATCAAGGGAAGTAGAATATCTCACAATGCCAGAAAGGGCGAGAACTACGTGTGAATGTATTGGTGTCTTGAGTGGTCTATAAGTATGCAACTGAACAAAAATGTTACGTCAGTTGCATAAACTGCTTTTTGTAATATTTCCCCTCCGTTTGCAATGTATATCAGAAGCAAACCAAGGGGACATTTCCGTTAAGAAATGTTCTGAGATTGGCCAAAACGACTTGTAATGTCCCAGTCAGATTTACAAATTTACCAGGACAGCAACTTTTAAAAAAAATAACCCGTAAAAACAAAGTGTTTCACTATAAATCCTTTATATGCGTGGCATCGGTTTTATTTTATTATTCATTTCTGTTTTTCTTGAGTAAGAGTTTCATTTTTATCACATTGGTATTTTTAATTAAATATGAAAAAAAATCCTAAAAAGTGAAACATTTTGGAAAAAAATTTTCACGAAAATAAATTGTCACGCACAACGAGTCTGTGTGCAAAATGTCAGCTCGATTGGATCACGGGAAGTGGGTTAAAAAACGACCGAAAGATTTGCACGGTCGTAAGCGCGCAAGCAAGCAAGTGAACTTAATATAAAGGATTTAAAAATAGGAATAGCACGGGAAAACCAGGACAGGCGTTCGACTTAAACCAACACAAAGAACTCCAACTTGTCCACGTCGGCCTTCGGCCTCTGCCTCACACACTCACGGTACAAATTCACATTGAGATGTTTTCCCTCCTCATCATTTTGACCTGGACAGATTAACTATCGATTTTTTTTGGCGGAAACCTCCAGCAACTCAGTTCATAACGAGAATTCCCTGCCTGGTGCTGAACAGGTACATTATTGGCCAACCCTCTTCTTTATTTCATTGAAACAAGCAAATGTTGTGTTACATTGCCGCTCAATTATCACCCGTAAGTGAATCTACCAACCCATAATAGTGATTTACGAATGTATCGAATTAGCCGAGGGGCAAAGCTTCTCGACCGCACCATCACGGCAGTAACAGGGACAATGGGAAAAAAATATATAAAATAGTGGCTCGTGATGGATTTTCCAACATGCTAATGATGCACTATTGTTAGGAATAAAGCAAAAGCTACTATTCACGGTTGGCTTTTGTTTTCCTTTGGCAAGGTGGCACTGCACTGCCCGAGCCAGCAGTGCCCACGTGTCCCCGCGGTGCCCTCACCTCATTTGACTCGAAGGGCGACTGACTCGGAGCAGAGTTGCGTCGGAGAATTAGCTCTGGAAAATAACAAGCTCGGCTGGAAAAAGCTCCGGCCAACAAACCACTCCCCCCCCACCTCCACACTTTTCTCACAAACATCGGACCCAGTGGGAGAATCTGCAAAAAGATAACATTATCTCTCCACCCAAGTAATCCTCGCGTTTGAGGCGTACAGAATGAATTAAAAATCATCCCCCGTCACTCTGGGCTCACGGCTGCCTCTCTCTCCCATCAACCCGTTGTTGTCATCGCTCAGCCAGGCAGCACCTTGAAACCATGGAAATAAATGGCGGTAGAGAAATCAAAAATACATCTTATTTTTAGCAGGTGATTTTGCCAGCTCCGTGCGCGGCCGTGCATTCGCTAAGGTTAGCAGCTGCGCTTCTCACATTTGCGCGGGGGAGAATGCTGACAGTTTGACTAGACATTGCCTTCACATTTGTTTTTATTATACCCAGTATGATGAACTTCTTTCGCACTGTACGTAGCCTAAGCGTGCCAATCGGATGTGTGGAAATAAACCCGAGCTCGGTTACTGGCGCTTCACACTTCCACTGTCGTTAGTGATGTAACAAAGTCCCCATCTTGCATTCATTCACATTTGTTTCCATGCCCCCGCGAAGTGTAACGGCTAATTGAAAAGAAGTGCGAATGTAACATTTTAATTACCCTTTAAATCTTTTAAGAGCACGCAGTGAAAATGGAACACTTTGTGGAAGATTTCTTTTTAATTCGAAGCCTTCAATAAGTGGGCCCGGTCTTTATTGGAATGTGCTTAAGCGTGCTATGTTTTCCAGCGTGCACTCGTCATTATCCTCATTGACAATTCTACTGCGTCTCACGCAACGGATTCCTTCACCCCTGGAGGTGCAACGCCGGCACACCCGGGGATGATGGATTGAGGTGGGCAGCCGGCGGCGTCAACATCGCGGCCGCGCATTGACAAGCGCGTTGAGAATTGTGCATTGGAAATAAAATAGAAAAATACAGAGGGCAGGCAGTACCCTAATACTACTGATGGGGTGAATCTTCATCATCGTCAGTCTTCGGCCTCACCTCTCTCCCCCATTAGCCGCCACCGCCTTCATCAGCGGCCACATTCACGACTGCCCCTTCTCCACCGTATCACAGAAACGAAACGCTGGCGTCGGTGCGGAGAATATAAGCACCAAAAGAAATACGCAGACGATATGCCTCCATCACATTCTGTGGTTGTCCGGCATCCCATCATCAGCCACACATCACTCTGGGAGTGCATAGTTTCAGCAAAATGTTGGTTCAACACAAGCAAAACTCTCGACCCGATTTGAGATGAAGCTTCTCATCAACAGAGTCGGCCTTGCATGAATCGATGTACCGCTAACCAGACATTCACCGTTTGTGTAAGAACTGTCAGATAAAAACAAACCCCTGAAAGGCATTGCCCTCCGATGAGTTTCTCAGTTGTACTGCACGGTGTTCGGCATTATCGCCGATGTTTCACTCCGCGTGCTGGGATAACCATTAGAGCACAACTGAGAAACCTACCCAGTGGTATTATGTAAGTTATAACATTCTGAATATCAATATTTTATCATTGTTATTAGTGCGCCTGTTTTCCTAAGAAAGTCAAGACTCTTTTTTTTTCAGAAGGGTCCTACCAGGTTATCGCAGTCAGGGGCGATATTGCTTTGTCTAATCTCAAATGAGTAATTTGCAGGTACATTTTTAGCATGAGAAAAGTTTGGCCAATTCCAGTAACATTACACGTGTGCTATTTTCGTAGAATTTTTTCATATATACAGACGTTTGATTTACTCGTGCTAAATATTAATTATTTGTGAACAATCTTCCAGAACATATTAAAATAACGTCCTTCTGAAATCATCTTCTTTCAGTTAATATCCTCCGCAATATATTTTTTGAACGACCAAATAACTTCTAGAAGTAACCGTCTGTCTTCGACGAAATAATCAAGAGCCTAGTGTTCAATCAAGTATATACCAACGACTGGCTCCAACAGGAGGATCAATTATCTATTAAGTGAGTGAGACGTTTCCATGAGCGCTTCATGGGCCAAGGCTGTTGAAGCAGTTCATGAGGACATGGCGAACAGATGGAAAAATGGATAGTCAACACAACATACTCTTATATAAGCGCACAACTTTATCTCTCTGTGATGAACGCTGCACTTTCCATCGTTTTCATGCAAGGGGCGCTGTAAACCTACGCGCCCCCTACATGAATGACGGAGGCGCAGGGACAGACGTTCGATTACGTTGAAATTGATCTGCAGACGGCGGTCTTCTCGCACGGCCAGCAGCTCTGTCGCCTTATCTCGATCCCGAAATCGCAAACAGGTGAAAGTCCGCATCAAACCGAACCCCCAGCAAGGCCATCTATTTGACGAGAGAAAATTCACACGAAATTTCCTTTTCAACGAAGTCTTCCAGATGTAAAATTATACAAGCTTTTAATGAAGAAATACAATTATCTATTTAAAAACACAATACAATTCAAAGATGTTTCATTTTAAAAGCTTGCGTGAATATGCGTCGTTAGTGTGCAATTTTGTTCGTGACTTTCCTGACCAAAGGCCGTAAATGGTTGTGAGGGGCACCACAGGCGCCCCCGAACAAGCCCTAGTTTTGTATAGTGATAACGCGAGGTGGCAATTCCATGCTCACATCACTGCCAGCAGATGGACCTCCGCTAAAGAGAGCTGTAGAGAGCCCCTATAGAGAGTGTTTTTAGATTATTTCGATAATTTGGCTGCTATAAATTCGCATGTGATAAGCCACTTCGTTGAGCTAACATTTATGGCCGGGTCGCTTCTGAAAAAGAAGCGAATAACACAATGGACTATTCCCGGCAAAGTAAGAAAAAAATTTGGTTTGTTTGTGATTTGCTTGCCTTTATGATACTATGCACTCCTATCTAGGGTTGAACGATGAATCGATTTCAAATCGAAATCGCCATTTGAAACAATGCGATTAGCAAATCGCAAAGGCTACGATTTTTTGGCGATTTGAAAACTTCTATTACTTTCTTTTTGGAATTGTTTTATTTTTTATTATTATAACTTTATTTATTTCACTTAACAATTGTTCTCTGTTTGATTGTTCTGTTTCAATTAAAACATTTTAATAAATACATGCTGGAAGCAATTCATATCTTTTAAGTTCTAATCCTTGCATTAGAATCTATAGAGCAGTTCATATTTTGATGGTATAATGTGGTTATGCTCCATCACATGTTTTAAATCTATTACACAGTGAAGCTTGACTTAAAAACATTGAATCGCAAATCAAATCGCAATCGCAATATCTGTTAGAAAAATCGCAATTAGATATTTTCCCCAAATCGTTCAGCCCTACTCCTACCGTCTTTGCATATTGTTTGTTGTTGTTCCTACTGGACATCTGAGAAAAATTGCTTCTTAGCTCATCGGATTTCTCCAGGATAAATACTGATTCTGATTTTGGCCTACTCTTCCACTCTGGCCAGATGCTTTGGGAAAAACAAGCGAGTTACACCCATAATTAACCCCACCACACGTGACCAGCCGATCCACTAACTGGTCCACTTGTAGTGCAGCACAAGTCGGTGACGAGGCAGTTGCAAGAGGCACCTTCTTTTATTGTAACACCCTTCGGGCGTTCACACACAGGATCGCCTCCCTCTCGCTCCCCTTGCCGTACAACCCAGCCTCAACACAAGCCTAACGGCGTTGCACCGACGGCGTCGACCGAGACAACCAACAACTGTCCGGCCACGCAATTATCGAGTGAAGGCGGGCAGCGACAAAGATGACAGCTTTCGATTTAAAGCTTTCGTGACTGCAGGGATTCATCTTCTTGCTTCTTTCGGTAAAGTCACGTAGAAGGGAAGTAATACAATAATAAAAATAAAACATAATAAAATAATTCTCACGACGTTTCGGCCACAACGCAAGCAGCCGTCCACGCTTTAATTTTTATTATTTTATTACTTCCCTTCTACGTGACTTTACCGAAAGAACCAAGAAGAAAGATGACAGCGACGACGAGACGAGTCCAATCCCAGAATCGGCAGTCCGTAGCGCTCGCTCTCCAATGCTTTTATTCATCTCGGCGCTGCTTGGCTCCGTCCTAGCCGCGCCTTTCTTCTCGAACCGACCAGAGGGTTCCAGGGGCCTCCCCACGAGGTCTACTATGACCCTTGCCCCAGTTCCTCCGCCCTGTCGGCACACACACCGTGTATATGCTCAACGGCGTGTGCGCTAAGTGTCCACCTGCAGTTACTGCTGCTGTGCCACTACACATCCATACTGCTGAGTGGACAGGGGCAGCGGGAATTCAAGAAACCCGCACCACTGTTTCGACTGCTTCGCCAGGGGAATCTAACCGGTGACCTCGGAATTGCAAGTCCAGCAGGCTGACCGTTACACCACGGTGGCATCTGTGGCACGTAGACGTTGGTTGAAAGAGATGTTCAAAATACATCGCAACCTGGCAGGAAAGATGTTGTGAAGATTAGCGATCGCTACGCATTTCGTGCGCAAGAAAGATTTCAACTTGGCATCGGCACGACTTGACATATTCGTGTGAATATATATATACTTTGTCCAACATATACTTTACTGCCAAAGAACGCTTGTCGTAATTCTGGTTGATTTGCATGTCCCTACGCAGAACAACGTTTCAAGGAGAGGTGTCGGCAAAGTGCCAGTTCCGGGAAGAGAGAGAGAGAAAGAGACTGAGAAGAAGGAAAAAAAAACATATAAGCAGAATGTGCGGCGTAATGTGTGCAGACGAATTAGGCGATGATGGAGCGTGTTGGGCTTAAGCCCCTTTACGACGCCACCTCCAATCAGCAACGAGTCGTCAGAAACGTGGCCGGAACAAACGGACTCGGACACGTGGCTGAAAGAGGCACACTGCTCTGATAACCCCATGAGGGTACATGGCAATGAAATTAGTCCTCCCAGGACATGAAATGCTTCAGACCCTTAACATGGTTTGGGATTTGCGGTTGTGAGGAATGAATACCGCACGCTCACGTCACAACACGCCCACACTCCGTATTTATTTTGTGTTCGCCGTGGAACCTCGCCGTCAAAAATGCGGGCAATAATTCACTATGTAACACGATTGTCGTTCCTGGGTAGTAAGTGTTATTTTCTAATTGCTTATGCCCCAAAAGTATAGAAAATGGCTATTATTCCCCACAAACTTTGCTGTTGTGACCAGGACTTTATGTGAAGGAATTACACAAATGCACACCACGTTTTCTCATTGAAAAGAGGTCAATTTCAAAATTGCAATGTCCTCTCTTCAGCACACCGGTGGGCTAAAGAAGTGAATTATTTTGTCCTTTGAAAACGTGACACATTTTTTACTGTTTGGCCGTGTCGGGTGGTGGAGGGTTATGACGCGATCTGACCCAAAGACCTATATTATGATCAATGTCCTGGTCACAAAAGCAAAGTTCGTGGGAAATAATAGCAATTTTTTTTGTACTTTTAAGGCAGAAGCAATTAGGAAATGACACTTACTACTCAGGACCAAATAAATAGTGTTTTGTTAGACAGTGTATAATCTTAACTCTCGAGGCGTCTGTTCGATGGCGTTAATGCATGCAATGACAAAGTAAAACAGTCGTCTTTTAAAAGGACGTCTTTCTGTGTTTGGAGGGCTGCAAGATAAACACGTATAGAAATGCTGTTATTGTGATAGAACGCAGCTATTGATGATGGTGATGATTGTATCTTTTTTTGTGGCTTGAATCCCAACAACGTGTTTTTCGCACAAAATCCCCGAGTCACCGCTGTGCCACATGGGTTGGATTTTAATCTGGTCACTGCAACTCATCCAATCTGCTATGCCGCCGCGTTTATTTCACGCGTCTGTTGCAAACCATCAATTTTTTTTCCACCCGGTAACAAAAAGATCATGAACAATTCTGGCAATAAAACATGAGGTGTTAAGATGTTCAAACAGCAAATAGAACCATTTTGCACCACACGCAGTGCTTGTGGTGAACATGCAAACAAACATTATCTGATGAAATATGGCATTGTCTTTGAAACTGATTAGTCTGCACCAGACAGCCTTCTTTATGGGTGACACCAGTGTCAGACCAGAGAACGCCAAAAGGCGAATAGTACAAAAAAAAAAACGTATCAGAGCATGTATAGCTCGGGGTGAACAGCTATATCATGGGACCTTTATTTCAGTATCAAAAAGGTCCCATGAAACAAAACAAAACATTGGTGGCGTGTTCGGCGCACACCATGGCATCGGGGTACAAGAGCACAGATGCTCAAAAGGGTGATGTGATGTGGTTGCAAAGTGGCACATGGAGGAGTTGCTGGTGGCGAAGAGGGGGGAGGGAGAGGGAGGAATGGAAGGGAGGGTAGCGGTGGTGGGTATATGCACGGCATCGGCGAACGCATACACGCGTCGGAGCACGCAATCATCTCATCACTACGAACGCGGCAGGCAGGCGGGCGGGCAGGCGGGCAGGCGGGCAGGCGAGCCATAACCCAATGCCTCCCTTCCCCTGCGCCTCAGTGCTGGCCCATTCCCAATTCATCCCCGCTGGGCATCTCATCATGCAAGCCAGCAGCCCTGACGCACAAAGGCAATCGCGGCATGCTGTAATCACCCCGTCACGACAATACGCCGCAGCAGCAGCAGCAGCACAACAAAGCTGGGCTTTCACAGCACCGTGGTAACACCGAATGTAATCGCGTTAACGCAGATAAGAGGGCCGATGCTTTCTGCGTTGTCACACGGAGCATACGAATGTAAATGTTTCGCTGTGTAGATGAACATGTCTTAGACATGCATTATCTTTTAATCCCCCCCCCCAATTTTAGATGTCCCCTTCTGTATAATTGTGCAAGAGTTTGTAAAGGCTCGCACAGTATTTCGGCTACGCACACTTGTAACGATGTGTCCTTGTTCTGAACACAGTAAGACTTGCATAGGGAAGTGAATGGTGGAGTACATTAGTAAGTTATCATGTATGCCGCTTAAATGTGAAAGAAATGTATCATTGCATCGGGGGGGGCGGGGGGTTATTCAAGAATTCAATATGTTTACAACAGCGTGATGTATTGCTCACCTATACATTTGTTATATATGGCTGCAATAACTAAAGGAAAAAAAATATTTTCAAAAGTCCCAGTGTAACGTGGACATAAAAAACGAATATGGCACGGCATTCTACAAAGTGAATATCAGCGAGATAATCAAAAGTGCAATTTTGTGTAACATTTGAGTCGCGATAAAGGGTAAGAAACGGTCTGTTAAGTGCAAACGGATACTTTTTTTTAATGCGGATGCCTTACCAGAATGCATGGCGAGAAATGTAATAGCGGCTTCGTGTGCCTCCCAACTAAAGGTTCAGAAGACCCACTGCTCTGGCAGCAGATCGGAGCAGAGACGAGACAGGAATGGTCCAATTAGGACCTCTCTCTGTCTCACCTCGATCAGCACAGCAGCAGCAGCAGGAGGATGGTGCTAACGGGGAGTGCCGTGTGGGCGTCGAAGCTGCTGTAGAATCCACACTCCATTCCATTCCTCAAGTCTGGTCTCACGCTGCGCTCACTGCCACTGCCAAAAAAAATCCAGCCAAGTTACTCGCGGCGGCAAACTTACCTCATTAATAAACACAGAGCACAGACTGACTTGAAATAAAATGGTAAAACATTTTTTTTTAAAAAAAGCAAGCGGCAAGGCAACGTCGAGTGTTTGAGGTGAACGATTTGAATGTTTGCACAGAAGTTCTGCTTTTGCCGTCGTGCAGTTTTGGCACAAATGCGTTGCTCTTTTAACCCAGAGAGCATCCCCAAGCATCACATAAAAGGGAAACTTGTGAACATCAAAAGAAGGCGTCAATTCTCAGCATCAACACAGCTGCTCCTGCCTGCAGAAAACACTAACACTTACCAATTAGATGCGGATGTTTCATCCCGCCGCGTCGTCTCACACATCAATTAAAGGAGATTCGTGCAAGTTGTACGACACGCAATTTGCGAGCATCGTGCATGGATACGTACGTACACACGTGCGGTGGCGAGTTATTAATTACCTCGCCTGGTCTACAGGTGTGCGTGGGTTCGATCCCAACTCTGACGCATGTTGCATATTTGGAGTTTGCATGTTTTTTTCCCGTGGATTTTTTTTTCTCCGGTTCCCCCCACATTTAGAAACATGCATTTCGATTATAATTTGGTTGCTTTAAATTTCCACGTGATGATAAGCCACGTCGTTGAGCAATCACCTGTGGCCAGGTTGCTAAACAGCTCAGTGGGCCTTACTCGGTAAAATAAAAACGTTTTTAAATAATTCTAGATTTGAAGCTTTCGTGACTGCAAGGATTCATACTCTTTGGTTTTTTGCTACATTGTCCCCACCTGAAGAAGGACGCTTGAGTTGCGCCCGAAACGTCGTGATTTAATTGAGTTGTTTTATTTTATTTTTTACCTACGTGACTTTACCGAAAAAAAACAAAGAGTACGTTTTTAAATAGTTTATATAAACTGAGCTTTTTTCTACGTGTGTTCCAAACAGTAAAAAACCCCCAATTTTTTTTTGGAGGAATCCGATGAGCTATAAAGTACTTTTTCACAGATGTCCAATAGGAGCACGGGGTCAAAACGTTACAACAATAAACAATACAAAAAGACGATAGGTGTGCAAAGTATAGGAAAGATAAGCAAGTCACTTGAAATAAATAAAAATAAATAAATAACTTTTTATCTTACCAGCGAAAGCCAACTGAACTATTCGCCAATTTTTCAGAAGCGAACTGGCCACAATTGATAGCTCAAGGAAGTGGCTTATCATGTGGCAATGTACACCAGCAAAATCATCTTAAACGAGAAATGTTATGAATTAGAACTGACAGCACGTTCATAATACTTCACGTGAATGTGACAAATTAAACATAGAAATTATGCATAAAAACTGAATATTATTTATATGCATTTGACATTATACAAGCATGCATAACTGAACAAATAAACATGGATGTTACACTGGGAGGGAATTACTGCCGTCAGATATGTATTAATGCCCTTTCAAGTCTATACATCTGAATGTGTTCATTTAACAACACACGCAGGTGGGCATGACTTCCATTGCATGATATGCGTGTCATGTTTCAGTTTCATTTATTAGGTATAACCCTGTGAGCCATGCGTCTCTTGACTCGGGTGCAACCGCAACAAAACAAAAACATCTTAAAGTGACTACACACAACATAAAAAAAAATCCTGGAAAAAACAGCAAAGTCTTCCAGAAAAAACACCGCATTTCAACGCTGTGTGCAAAAATCCCAGTGGGGTGCAAGTCAAACAATAACAACCATAAGACAATGTAGATTCAAGTTATCAGGCCAACTCTGTACTACAACAAACAAACATGGCCAGACCAAATCGTCCTCCACATCACCAAAATAAAGCCACAAAAACAATGTAACAGTGATCATGGGAACTGTGATTCAAATCCAACAACAAACGATATCCATAACATGTGCGACCAAACCCCGCAGCCATAGCTGGCTGCATCAGTCACTCCATAACAGCAGGAGCATCTGTAGCAGAATAAAAATTTCTCAATAGACCTTTAAAGATCAGCACACCACAATCAGAACTCAAGATCACATTGCAGCGGTCATCCGGAATGATGTGAGGCCACATTGCATGCGCAATGCTCTCAGCCTTTCAAATGCGCTTCTGCGGCCGTCTGGAACGCTCTTCCTTCCGATATTAGAAAGCCACGAGATCTATGCACTTGTTAACCACTTATTTTAGAATTAAGATTCCTATATGTTGAATGTATGCACCTTCCTGCCAAAGTAAATTCCTTGTCTGTGCGAACTTTCATGGCGAATACAACCCTTGCTGATTCTGATTTCTGATTCTGATTTTAAATCTGAATTAAAAGCCGATTTCTTTAGAACTGCTTTTCGTGTTTAATTTGTTGTCTTTCCCCCGCATCTCCGATGAGCACGGTTGGCTATGTGCGGTGCGAAAAAAGTTCAACATACATACAGCTTCGTCTAAGCAACGAAATCCACACAGCCGAACGTGTATTCCAGTGTTCTTCACTCACTGATGTTTGGAGGGGGCCCACTTTCGCCGATAAGACATTAGTGTGAGGGCCGCCACACAGCTGAAACCATTGGGTTCGACAGCACGCCGTTTGGGGTGTTTTAAAATTTGTGTTTTGTCGGGGGCCGCACGACGGGGGCCGCACTAAAGGCCACCAGGGGCCGCCAGTGGCCCACGGGCCTTGAAATGAACAACACTGGGGTAGTCGTATTATTATCGTGATTGTTTAGGTCACCGACCCAGACGAGCTTGTGACTTAACAACACTGAGATAATTGTAGTTACAATGTGGTGGTCACGTGACATGCGTGCAAGGCATGATGTGATATGAAAGCTATTAATTCCCAGCCTCCACGCATCCCCCTGTTGCGATGGATTTTCTCATCATTTGGATTATCTGAATGCTCCCCCTTGTTTGTCGAATATATTTTCAAAGGGCTCAATCTCCACCTGATTACTATGCATTAGCAAAACGTATTCTTGATACGCCAATAGATGGAAAAAACAAATTCTGAAAAACAAAGCAGAGAAAAACTGAGCTTTTACAGAAGAAACGGACAATCATAAATACAAATTAAAAATTAAACTGTGGACAAATATTATATCTGACAATGGGGTACACCTTGGGTACACAACGGATTGGCTTTTTTGTGTGAGAGAAATCACGTGGCCCCTTACCATGCTTTACAGAAGGTGGCATGCTTAGGTAATGACCCATAGAGTTACCAGAAGTGTAATTTGGAAATTCAAAGCCATATAAACAGAATAGATCACGACGTTTCGATCGCAACACAAGCAAACGTCTTCAGGTGAAACAATACAGCAGGCGGACTGTTGAGGCAGGAGGAAATGTAGCGAGAGAGCTACTGCACAATCAAATGTTATATACTTTTGTGGTGGGTACAACCCATTAGTAAGTGGGCGGCACTAGGGATGGAATTTGCAAGTAAATGTCGAGAGGGTGGGGGTGACCTCGGCTAAAACGAGGGGGGGTGAGAGGGGAGGGGGCTGCCGTAACGGGCGAGAGGGTGGAGGTGAAATTTACAGAAGTGGCGGTTTTTTTAACGTTAAAAAACCGCCACTTTTTCAAATTTTCTTGCTGTGGTTTTCACACCTGATGATGATTGCTTGTGTTGCAATAGAAAAGTCGTGAGAATTTTATTGTTTTATATTTTTATTATTATTTTATTGTTTCCCTTCTACGTGAGTTTAACCGAAAGAACGAAGAATATAAACTTACCAAACTTAGAAATGTAATGCAACTCAGAGAGTCGGCAAACACAACAGTTAACACTATACCTGGTTGATCAACGTCCTTCCAAAGATTGCAAAATTTTGCATCCATCTTCTCGGTTGAAGTCATGTCAGAGTTGTGTGGAAATCCTCCCCGTAGAGGTGGTTTGATTCCATATAAACAGCTTTGCTATAAATTGTAAGCCACAAAAGCCTCAGCTGTTCACATGCACATAGAATATCCTAACCATGCCTGACACTATCACAAGCAGCCAAAACACCGTGTACACTTTTACTTTTTGAATATTAAACTTGTGCTGCAGCACACAACTGCACCCCCCCCCGCCCCTTGTTAAGCTTACACTCTAGGTACAGGTTGCAACTGGTAAGAACGTTCGATTAGCAATTTGTAAGCACCTCCGATTAGCAGCGTTGGCAACATACGGTGCAAAAGGTCAACATACATACAACAACATAGTTACAGACAGCGCAAACACAGGAGACGGGCGGCGTATTTTGCAATTGTTCCCAGAACTATTTTGAAGCCGAGTTGACCTGGTGTGTGAAGCAGACAGGTGAAGCTCAGCCATAATTCCAACAATCGTCCTTAATACCAGTACTTGCCTGGCTTGGCTCCTCCGCGCCAGCTCTCGTAAGCGGCCCCTGCACCAGAGACACCCGCAAGAAACGGCGGTGAAGTCTGCAAAGGGTCAAACACTGAAGAGTGATGCATCCTGTGACAATGGAAACATTATAGATTTTAGCTTTGGACAGCATCGCCCACCCCAAGCGTGCATTAAATGTTATTTATAAAAATATATATATTGTTACCTCCCCTGTAGCCGCAGAGGGAGGGGAGCGCATGGAGGGGGATGAATGAGAAGGAGCCAAGTCTTCGGAGCCACGTGACCATGCAGCGTTGGGACAAGAAATGTGCCGTGCTGTGCCCATACCAAGTACTGTACAGCCCAGCACGGCCCAGGTTTGATTTCCAATGGCCATGTAAAAACAACATTCCAAACCTGCTCCTAGCCCAGGGCTGGGAACTAAAGCACCACAAAAGTACAGACGCACACGTTTTATGTTCCGTTAACTTAAGTAATGGCCCCGGCCAACAACGACTGCACCCGCACCGCTTGCAAGCGATGTGTGTAATGAGAAATTGAAAGTGATCCTTTCGGATTGCAGTAAAGTCCACTCTGCGAGGATCCACGGCAAACTGTCGTGGCACAATGGTTTGATTCCCAGCCTTGGCTAACACGAGTTGAGGAGTGAAATCTGAACCGATCCTGTTCAGCCCTCTTCACCAAATCGCACCGACCATCGTGACGGGCGAGGGGGCCTTAATCCAGCAAACAGACTGACAACTCTCAGACATGTATGATGACGAACCACCACTCCTCAATTCACCAGCAAGTGCCAGTCACCGCAGCTCCATTCACAGGTTCTGTTCGGCCAATGTAATTCGGTGAAAGCTCCGTGACAAGAAACCATGCGTTCCAGAAAGGCGAGACTGGTAATTACGCCAAAATAGCTCCCCACACTTCTCAGCTGCTATCTTTGAACTGCCTGATGTTCTGCTCAGGGCCGTGAGCGTTGCTGCTCCTACCGGTTACAGAAGGGCATACAACACCAGCTGCTTGTTGTCATCTTTCACCAGCTTTCTCGATATATGCCGGGTCCTGACACCCCACTGGTGGTAGCCATGCACAAATCCACTGCATCCGAAGCCCTCTCACATCACATCAATCCAGCTCACCTCTAGCCCACGTGCACACATTTGATCCCCTCTCCGCGGGCAAGCTAAACCTGCAAGGGGCATGTGGAAGCGACCGAAACACTCTGGGTAAAAGGATTTGCGTGGCATTCATGAATATGACATCAATTCTTAAGCTCGTGATACATCGAATTGCAATGTGGATGGAGACTCAATGTTTTTAGATATGTGTGTTATTCAACAGCTTCGTGTGCCCATTCAGGCCACTAGAAGCAGTTTCATTCACCATGACCGCGAACAAAACAAAAAAGCAGAATCTGTCTTGGAATCGAAATCGTGACTGAATCACAAAAAAAATTGTTGAAGCATGGAAGAGGTAGGGTCATTACCCCATCCCCTCCCGACCACCACCACTACCACCTTGCTACACACACAATGACGCAGACTCACCCACATATGGGGTGTACAAATACACGAGTTGCAAGACACGCTTGCTCTGAAGTCAGAGTGGAACTCCCCGTTGCGATGTATTTTAGCGGAGTGTTACAAACAAGGTGCACGGTGGGATGGCTGTCGGCGGTGCTCTCTGTCAGGCATGCAAAACGTTGCGTTCGCTCCCCCTGCCTATGTGAGGGATAAGTACGAGTTTCCTGGTTACTCACATCCCAAGATCATCCATTCAATGCAACCACTGGCCCCCCTTGCACGCACACCCACAGATTGCAATGTCGAGCCCCCGTGCTCCAACCCCTGAGGGAGGGAGGGAGAGTGGGGAGAGGGGGGGAACCCTCCACTGAATCCTGTTTGCAATCATCCTGGGTCTGGATGAGGATCCAGCATAGCGAAACGTGACAAACTGGGCAGATTTACTGCTTTTGGCGATAGAACTGCAACGGTGCAGTCTCTAATGAAGATGCAATACCAAAGTGCAATGATCCGTAGACGCAATAGTGGAGTGGAATTGAATTTCGGGAAAATGGATCTGAAAAATACTTTCCTACTGAATAGAGGCAACAATAAAAAAAACACACACGGCATTGTTCAAAACGCGAGAAAACAAGCACATTACTGCACCTCTTAAAACAAAATAACTTTCAACGTGTTACCGGCAGCTCAGGTCAGCTTAGGACATGCTCTTTCTTCACCAAGTGCCAAGTGCCCTCGCGTAAAAAAAGAAAAAAAAGTCCACTAGACATTGTAAACGTGCCAGGAGATGGGGAATTGCTCTTTTCAGCAGTTGTCAGTTCATTAATGCAAACCACCGGCGGGCCACGGCGTGGAATTGGCCGTCCGTTTTTATTGTGAGGGATCGGGTGGCCTCGATGGTGTACGTCATCGGCACGAGTGCTACGGAGACCCGAGTCGCACAGGAGTAGCCCACCCCGTCCTACCCCCCCTTTGGCAACCGGGCAAATCAGACAGGACAAGCAAGAGCGGTGCGATTGGCCACGCAGCTGTTTCCTTTTGTACTTTCCTACGGCAGGGCAGAAGAACACCAGTGGGGGGAGGTGGCAGAGGTCGCAAACGGGTTTTGATTCCTTACCCGTAAACGTACCCGGCCGCACCAGGGTCGCAAACGGGTACCCGTACCCTACCCGATACCCGGCTACCGGTACCCGGCCGGGTATCGGGTAGGGTACGGGTATCGGGTACCCGGTTGCGACCTCTGGGAGGTGGTGACTTAAGGAGCGGCAACAACCGAAGGTGCTGCTGGTCCTGGGAGGGATGGGGGGCTGTGCCGGATTAAGCTAGTGCGGGGCCTGTAGCATATGTTAAAAAGGGGTCCTAAATAAAAAATGTAAATATTTAAACACACACATTTTTTACTTGCATAGTCAAGTGATGAATTTTTTCATTTGATACACAGACAGATACAACGACAAATCGCTCACCTTAAACACCCAGTCGTTCATAAAAGTTGAAGGCAGTATAGTACTATAGTAATAGAGCAAGTGCAGAATCACTGAACCGGAATTGATAGCTTGAAAGCATTTAGCGCGGGGCCCTTGAAAGTGCGTGGCCCGTAGCTACATATGTAGCTACTTTTGCTACTAGAATAATCCGGCACGGGGGGGGGGGGGGGGTGTCAGGCAAAGGGGTCCAGGTCAAGCGGCGATTAAATGAAAGTCGTCAGGCGGGGACGACGGGAGGCGAGGTGGGAGAGCAATCACGAGCCGCGCGCGCTTGACGCGTGGATATCGACGTGCAACTTAATGTTGCTTAAAAGTGTACGGCTCAAAAACAAAATTGCGTGTGGTGTTGACGTTGTCGCAGCAAACCTCTAAGTTTGTTTTTATTATTGATTTTTATGCAGAGCGCCGAGCCATCCACGGAGCGATATCGAGACGGCGTCAAAATACATACTGGAGGAATCAGCAATTACGTTGTTACAAAAAAGAAGAGGTTGGGGGGGGGGGGGGGACCGTCTAGCTAACGCGTACATATTGAGCTTAACGCTTGACAAATTTGAGCCATTAGCGCGGGCCATATCCACAGCGCACGCGGCTTCTGTCCTCCGACAATCGCGACGATTGCATCTGCGTGAAGCCAAACGGGGCAACGCTGAAAACGAGGGCACGTTGTGGTGGGGGGTGGGTTGGGTGGAAATCAAACAATCAAGGTTATTCCTCACACCCGTGTGTCACGTAGAGG